AGCGGCCCCGCGGGGGGCGCGGCGTTAGCTGCCCCAGCCCCTGGACCGGGCAGTGGCGGCCCAGGGCCCCGCGTCTACTTTCAGAGTCCTCCTGGGGCCGCAGGCGAGGGCCCGGGCGGCGCGGACGACGACGGCCCAGTGAGGCGCCAAGGGAAGGTCACCGTCAAGTACGACCGCAAGGAGCTACGGAAGCGCCTCAACCTGGAGGAGTGGATCCTGGAGCAGCTCACGCGCCTCTACGACTGCCAGGTGTGCCCTCTACCCCGTGCTGACACCCTAAAACCCGTCCCTAATCGGGCCCCCCGAAACCCCACTATGAGCCTGCCTGTCACCCGGAGTCAATGGGCGCTCCGCTTCCCCGCGCTCTGCTCCTCTCTGCACTCCCCGCCCCCGATGTATGTTCTTTCTTGTATGACCTAAGTCACTCCCATCTCCTTCACTGCCTCAGACCTTGCCTCCCTCAGCCTACCCTAGCTTGGGGTCCTCCAGAAGCCCCAAGGGATAGCCTGGGCCTTGGGCAGGAGGCAGGGGGCTAGCCTGGGCTAGCAGGCAGTGGAAAGAGGTCTAACTTGCCTAGTGCAGCTAGCCTAGACTGTGGCTAAAAGGCTAGCCCGGTTGGTGGAGGGTCTGAAGGGCCTGAGCTGTTGCGAGGAGCTAGCCTAGAGCTCCATCCTGTCATGGGGGCAGGCTAGCCCACTCTCTGGTTCTGGGTCTCCACCCTGTGACTCCCTGGTTGCTCAAAGGGTGACTCAGGCCCCGGGGGGTAGGGTGGAGGAGGGGGCCTGCCCTGTACTGCCTACCTTGGCCCAGCCCTGGAATGCAGCTGCCTCTAGATTGGGTAGCTGCTTCCTGGGGGGAGGGGTGGTGGGTACCCCCTCCCTCAGCAAAGCATGGGCTCTTTGTTTCCCTTTTCCCAGGCCTGGGTCCTTCCCCCTGACCCCTCACCCTTTGATTCCTCCTCCTTCCTGGGAAGCTGTGACAGGTGTTTGGATGAGGGGAGGGGGCTGTGATGAACTGGGACAGCTGGTCCCACCTGTGATCTGGTGAGATGAAGGACCCAGAAGTTGGGGAGACAACATCTGCTGGGTTCCAAGCCCTGGGCCTCTAGCCCTGGCTGGCTGGCCCTGTCTGGCACCCATGGTGCCCACTGGCTGGGACAGGAAGCGCCCCTTCCCCTCCCCCTGCATTGGGCAGTTTGCCTTGGCACAGGCCTGATCTGTTTTCTTCCCTGGAGCAGCTGCTGCTGCCTGCTGGGCAAAAAGGGCTGGGCTCCTCCTCAAGCGGGCAGGGTCCTCGGCCCAGGACAGCCCCTCTCACACCTCACCCAACTAAGGCCCTTGTCTCTCTCCGGCCCCCACCCCCACCCCAGGAAGAGGAGATCCCAGAGCTGGAGATTGACGTGGACGAGCTCCTGGACATGGAGAGTGACGATACCCGGGCTGCCAGGGTCAAGGTGAGGGGGTCGAGGGCTGCCAGGAGGCACTGCTTCTTGGGGAGGCTGTAAAGCCAGGCCTTCCTTGGTCTGGGTCAGCCAGTTCTGACCTTGGGCTCAGCTTCTGCCTCTGTAAAATGGGGATGACAGTACTCATCTAGCTGTGAAGCACAGTGGCATCTGCCTGCCCGGGTGGGCCCAAGGCCCTTGGAAGTGCATATAAGTAAACTCTAGGCCTGCATTCCTGAGAACTCACTGTTCTACTTATCCCCTCTCCCCACTGTCCCCTTAGGAGCTGCTGGTTGACTGTTACAAACCCACTGAGGTGAGTGGTTTCCCTGGAGGGTGGGGTAAGAGGAGCCCGGGTTCTGTTGTCTTGGGGTCCGGTCTCCCTAACACCCTCCCTCCTGCCCAGGCCTTCATCTCTGGCCTGCTGGACAAGATCCGGGGCATGCAGAAGCTGAGCACACCCCAGAAGAAGTGAGGGTCTCCAACCCAGGTGAACGGTGGCTCCCACAGGACAATCGCTGCCCCTCGACCTCGTAGCAACAGCAATACCCAGGGGCCCTGCGGCCAGGCCTGGTGCCATGAGCAGGGTTCCCCGTGCCCCTGGCCCAGGGGCCTTTTCCCCTGCCCCTTCGGTTTTCCATTTTTGGGGTTTTTTATTGTTATTAAACTGATGGGACTTTTTGTGTTTTTATATTGACTCTGCGGCGCGGGCCCTTTAATAAAGCTGGGATATGCCTTTGATGCAGCTTCCAGGCTCGGCTAGTCTCTTTTAGGGGGACACACTGCTCTCTCCAACTGCTGCCAGCTCAGCTGCTCCCCAGGTGACCTCGGGCCTTCCTAAGGGCCAAGCAGCCATGCCAATAGCCCAGTGCTGGCTCCCAGACTAGGAGCTGGAAGTGGCTGGGGAGCTGGGGGTGGGGGGAGTGGTGTTGCTTCTGGCAGACAGACCACTCCTTTCTCTCCAGACACAGGCCACCCTACCACCCTGGGCCTGGCTGTGGTGACCCCATACCACTGAGCTTAGATGCCAAGGCTTTGCAGCCAGGAACGGAGAAAGGGGTGTTGCTGAGGGAGAGGAAAGCAGAGGCTGTGAGCTCTGTCTCAGGGCCCACAAACAAACACAGGCTCACTCGGGCTTTTAAGATGTTTTGTTTTGAAATAGTCTGGTCCCTGCTGGGGGCCTCTCCCCCCTGCCCCTCCCCAGTTTGGCTACAGTTCTGAACGTCGCTCGATTTTGAGCAGCTCCACCTCGAACACCAGGGTCGCACCACCTGTGGGAAGAAACGGGATCAGACTGAGAACCAGGGCCACGGGGAGATGAGCTGGCTGCAGAGATGGGGGTAGCAAGGTCTATTACCTGGAATCTTTGGGGGCGCTCCACGCTCTCCATACCCTGTTGAAGAAGCACAGAGAAACAGACTGAGTCGTGGCCAGGCCCTCCTCCAGCACAGGCAAAGGGAGGGAAGGTGGAATGGAGGTAGGAGGGGTGGGCACAGAACTGAGTGCCAACAGGGTCTTGTCCTGTCCCCATGGCCAGACACAGCCAGACTTGGAAGAGGCAGGTGTTAGAGGAACGAACACACAGGGTGAAGATCCATGCAGTGGCTAGACCAGCCTTCGCCCTTGCCGACACACGCCCCCGAGCCCCCCATGCCTCTTACCCAGCTCTGATGGGATCACCAGCTTCCGCTTTTCCCCTTCACACATCCTGCAGGAGGGCACATGCTCAGCACGTGGCAGCACCCAGGCTCCCTGCCCACCCCTCACCCTGCCTCCCACAGCTCACCTCCTGTGCCACAACCATGGCTCCCTCCAACTCACCCCAGCAGCCCCTGGTCCCAGCCCTTGATGACCTGGCCAGTGCCAAGGGAGAAAACAAAAGGCTGGTTCTGAGGCAGGCTGCTGTCAAACTCCGTCCCATCTTCCAGCTTCCCCTGTGGGACCGTGGAAAGCCAGTGAGGGCTGGAGACCCCTCCTGAACCCCCTGAACTGTTCTCCCGATCAAGTTGGCCCCCACAGTCCTTGAATGACACACAGCCCTGGGCAGCTCACAGTACACTGTCACTCCATGTCAGTCTATAAGGTTAGGTGCCAACCTGGGGAGTGGACAGTACCAGACAGGGTACAACCAAGAAAACTGGCTTAGAGGAGAAAGTAGACTCGCCCAAGGTCACTCATCTGTTTCTTGAAAGAACCAAGATGTTGGAGGAACCCAAGTCCTTTTTAGTCCCCAGAAGTCCCATTCACCCCCAATGCCCCGCCCCCTCACCCACCGTATAATGCATGTGCAGGACGTCCCCCTTGCGTGATTTGATGGGGCAGTGGTCCACCCTCTTCTTGACCCCAATCTGCAGCTTCCGCTTGCCCTCGGCCCCGGCGGCCGTGGCCAGAGCGTTCAGGCAGATAGACAGTACTGCCAGGACCCAGCTCAGCCTCATGTCTCTGCAGGCACAGACCCCGACCGACAGACCGGGAGGAGGGCGGGGAGGGCATGGAACACAGGCAGGTACCAGAAAGATTCCACCCCGCCCCCACCGTACCATGCTGGCCCCTGGGGATCCCTTTGTCCCGGTCACCGCCCCTTCCCCTGGGCTCCGCGGCCACACTTACCAGTCCAGTGAGAAGGGGGCTTGGCCGAGGACCCCAGCAGCGGGGGGAGGGGGTCAGGGGAGGCCACAGCAGCCAGGGCCCCGCCCCTTTGCTCACCCCCAGACCTTCCCGCCCTCCCGATCCCCAGCCCCGCTCTTCAGTTTCCACCAGTCCCTTTGCGCAAAGTCCAGACCCTCTCTGGCTGCACAGCGGATGTGCGGAGCGGGCGACCCCATTCACGCCACACCCAGCTATCCCCGGCCCAGCACACCCACACTTCTGCGGCCGCTGCAGGGGGCCGGCCCCGAGGCACCCATACATCGCCGCTGGGAGGCTCCGGGGACCCCCTGTCCTCCGGGGGTACCCCCCAGCCCGACCCTGTGCCTTCGGCCGGCGCACCGCCCCAGCTCTGAGCCCTCGGGGGTCTCCGGGGCACCCAGACTGGCTCTGTGTCGGGTGGCCGCCGAGCCCGCTCCACCCACACCACCTCTCCTGGGGGAGTTCTTGGCCTACCGCGTCCCCATGCCCCGCCACCACGGAGACCGCCCCCGTGTGGATGCCCCGGGCCATTACCCGGACCTAGTCCTTCTCTTGGCTCCTTGGCCCCGCCCTTTAGAGAGCGTGGCTCCGCCCCTGTCCCTGAAGCCCCGCCCCCGACACAACTAAACCCCTTTTCCTGAACCGCCGCCAAGCCACTCACTGGCTGAAGCCCCGCCCCCACTACCTGATCTCCTTCCCCCTTGGTCTCCAAACCCGAGGCTCCGCCTTCCAGTTGTTCCGGTTCCTCCTTCAAGAGCCAGGCTCCACCCCCCACCAGATCTAGCTCCGCCCCCAGCCGCGTAGCTACGCTTGTCTCCGGCACCAGCTCGGAAGTCCCACCCGTCTCTGCCCCACGCCCCGCCCCGAGTCCCGGGGCTCCGCCCCGAACGGCGTGAGGCCCCTCCCCCTGCGGCATCCTCAGACAGCTCCGACCCCAGCCCCAATTTCCTCGTAGCCTATCCCTCCTTGGCACTCGGGGCCCCGGCCCGCTCCTGCCCGGCCTGGTCCAGCCTGCCCTCTTGCACCCCGCTCCCCCAGCCCGGGCTGTGGCCCCCGCTCACCTCCTCGCCGCGCCCCCGGAATCAACCTCAACCGTGCTGCCGCCTTTGCGCAGGCGCATCACCGTCGCTACCAGGCCTGGCCACGCCGCCCTCCCTCATTGGACCGTGCGAACCCCGCTGCCACACGCCCGCTGAGGCGGATTCTTTCCTAGCTCCGCCTCCTGCGCCACGGCGTGACCTACGCGTCACTTCTGGTGGGACAGTCCATTAGGTGAAAGTGACTTCCGAAAGGGCTGAAGGCACTTCCGGCCGAAGTGAACCTAAGGTTAGGCGGGCTCCCATGGGGGTCTTGAGGCGCCATCATACGTCGCCTCCCCTTCTAGCCTTTCTCGCAGCGCTTCCGTTTGCACTTGAGCCTCTTCGTGATCCACAAACCCCAGCTGGATGCTTCGGAAAGAGCCCCGGCTTCAGAGGGAGCTCTGGGTTTGAATTCTGGGACTGCCACTCACTGACTGTGTGACTTTGAGCGGTTACTTGCCTGGTAGAATTTGGCGTTCCTGTAACGGGGGCTTGGTAACACTCACCCTACAGGGCCCCTGGGGTATTGAGGCGATAATGTGCAGCACTGGGCTCAGGCCCTGGCCCAGAGCGAATGTTCTTTCCTTCAGCACCCAGGCCAACCACTACCAGCCCCACACTGACCACTGAGTCAGTTACCAATTGGAGTAATGAACCTGCATTTGGTAGGCAGCTAAACCTAGGCTGTTAGGGAGACAGCCGATGAGGTCAAATCCCCAGGTCAGTTAGCCTTTTGGAGTCTATTTCCTCAATTGAAAAAGGCAGGTAATCACAGGTCTGACTTTAGAACCGAGGATGAAATGCGGGAGTGCATGCGAAGCATTGAGCGTGTCTGGTGGGATTAAGTGGGCTTGGGAAGTGGTAGCTCTAGGGCTCCTAACCTTCGTCTGTCTCAGGCGAGCTGTGATATAAGCAGTCACATCATGGCTCAGGAAAGTCCCAAACAACCACTGATGAGGGAAGACCCAAAGGTGCAACAGAGGTGGGAGAGAAAACTACGGGCTGGGGTGAGCTGAGCCCTGTCTCCCAAACCAAGCCTACCAGCCACAGACTCTTGGTGCTTTGCTTTCAGGGAAGTGAGAGTGAGGTGGGGATGGTGCAGGTATGTGGCTTGAGCTAAGCTTCAGGGAGCAAATACAGATAGTCCTGGACTTACGATGTATCCAAGTTACAACAAACTGCACTTACGACAGTCTGTTTTTTTTTTTCTTTTTCACATCTTATCATCAGTAATGTGTACTACATACAATGTTGCAGTGCATAATTTGCTGATGTTATCATTCTCAGATGTTCAAACATTGGATTTATAAAGATACTGATAATAAAAAGCAGTAATAAAACTGAAAAAAAAAAAAGGTATTATGTCAGAACCGACTCAGGACAGTCATCGGAACAGAACCCCCATCATAAGTCGGGGACTCCCTGTACTGAGAGTGCTGCCTGGGGGGAGATGGGTGTTCTTTTCTATAATGTGCAGACAGACCAAACTCCCCCGGAGCCCAAGGGCCCTGACCACAGCAAGCATCCATTCCTTCCACGTGTACATGTGGAAACTGAGGCTGAGAGGGGCAGTGACAATCATCAGTCAGCACATCATTAGCCATAGCAGTTCACTTTCTTTCAGAAAGGAACCCTTGGTGATGAGCAGAAGTCGGGGGTAGGTGGAGGGAGGAGGCGGGAAGGGGGACCCTCACTACCTCCCCTGTGCCGGGTGTAACGTGAGTGTGAGGACTGCGTGATTCTGGTTCTGCCTGGAACCTGCACAGTGAGGGAGGAGGATAGCTCTGGGTCTAGGGGGCAGTGTGATGCAGACATTCATGCCCAAACCAGCCAGCCTGGACAGTGACACACAGCGACGCAGGCAGGGACCATGCCTTCCATCTCTTTTATCAGGGTTGGGGGTCAGAGTTCTTGTACCAAAGCCCAAATTCCATTCTCTGCAGGGAATTGGGGTCGTCTTAGTGGGGAAGGGGGAGCTGGTGGTGAGATGCTCACTTGCACAAGGTGGTTAAAAAGTGAGAAGGGACCCCATTCTTCCCCAAACTGGTACATGACCCTCTGGATGCCTCCAAGTCTCCTTGTGCGACAGTGCCCACCCAATTGGATGGTGGCCTTGGGGGCACAAGGGATGGCAGGAGAACCCCCTGAGAGGCCCAGGTCCTGGAGCAGTGTCCACCCCGGCTGAGGTCTTGAGGGATGGGCTGTCCTCACCAGGCTCCCATCTTGTCCCCCTTTGAGGTGTGGCCTGTGAGGCAAGTGGCCCTGCTGAGTCTGAAAAGCAATGTGTCACCCTCGCAGCTTCCGGCACCTGAGGAGGGGAGGAGGGGTGTGTTCACACCGCTGGAACTCAGCCCCAGCTCCTCCTGACTCACCCCTTGTTACTCTCTGAACCTCATTCTCACCTAACACTCCTGGGAAGCCCCAGGTGGCCTGGCCTTAATGACAACACCGCACGGCTTCACTGTAGAGTGGAGAAGTGGTGAGAGCACCTCAGACAAGGGTGGCAGACTGGGTCCCACCACATCCCCTGGCCTCTCGGTGCTCATAACGTGGGACAAATGTCTACCATAGGGGCTTCTGGGAAGCCCAGAGCTTTGCAAACTGGAAAGTTGTCTCCTCCACTTCCACTTTAGTCAGACATCACCTCCTCAAGGAGACCTTCTCTGAACGCTCAAAGATGGGGTCAGGTGGCCCTCACCACAGCTCTCGACCTCCACTGCTGGCATCATCTGTCCTCGTGTCCAACTCCCGTGTTAGAGCGTTAGTCTTGTTTACACAGACACTTAGTAAATATTTGCTGAACACATTCAACAGCTTCCACTTCCCTGGCTCTCCTCCCACTAGCAGGCGCATGCTGGACCTGCTCCAGCACTGGGCCTGAGGCCTTCCCAAGACCCAGCTCTCATACCCTCACCTGCAGGTGTCTGGGTTGTGCTCTAAGCCCCGCCCTTGGCAACGGAGGAAGCTGCGGCGTTGGCAGCGGCAGCGGCAGGTCCAGGGGTCAGGGTGCTGACGGCGCTGGGCGCAGCGTGGGCAGAGGGGCCTGGGGCTGGAGTGGGATGGGTGATGTCAGCTGGGGAGGGTGCTCCGGGGACAGAGTCCCAGCCGGGAACAGAGCGGGGCTGGGGGCGGTGGTGGGGAGTGGAATCCCTAGGAGGAGAAGCAACATGTCTGGGGCAGGAAGGAACAGGCTTCCGGGAACTGGGGTCAGGTCAGAGCACACGGACTCAAGGAGCAGATGGGGGGGGAGGACAAGTGGGAGGAGAAAGAGGGAGGGGACCACAGCTTCCTGACACACTTGTACAGCCTCTACCCCACCCACCCCGACCATCCTGGGCTCCAACCCCACCTCAGCAGAAGCCCAAGAAGCCTGAGAGGCTCACCTGTCTGGCTTCCCAGCAGTCTCTCTTTTTTTTGGTCTGAAAGGTAAGAAAGACAGACAGAGACAAGGAAAGGGAGGATCAGGAAATCCAAGAACCCCACTCTCTTGCCCCAGATCCCAGGCCTAGCCCAGCTCTACTCCCAGAAACCTGGTCCCCACTCCCATGTCCCGTACACCCAGCACCCCCAAAGCCTGGTGTCTGAGCGCAGAAGGTGGGCCTGGCTGGCACCTGCATTCACACTGGCTGTGCTCTTCCAGCGACATCTCCCCCAGCTGACTGCTAGGGTACCGGATCATGAGGATCTGTGCTCGGGAGGAGGAGGACAGGGAGATAGTGAACGTGACAGCCAAAGGGGATGCTCCAAGAGCCGGAGGGGGAACAGCCTGCCCAATAGGCAGGCCCCTGGCCCCCATCCCTCTCTGTGCCCCAGTGTCCACCCGAGCCAGGCACGCGCCACCTGCCCCAGTACCTGCATCCGGACTTGGTGTTGCCCAGTGGGCACGCACTCCAGGCCATCGTCAGGACAGCAGCCGCCACAGCGATGCACAGTCACGCAGCTGGGCACCAGTTGCTTGGCCACAGTGCCCATGAGCTCCACCGTCAGGGGCACTACCACCTCCCGAGGCTGGCAGGTGGCACGGGCATATACATCCATCCATGACACCACTGGAGGCAGACCGGTAAGGGTTAAGTCCCCACGGGGTTTCCTGCAGCTGCTCCCTGGTTCCCCTGCCCCGGCCCCAGCAGCTCTTCTCCCAACAGCCACCCTCCACCTGCCCTTCTAACCTGTCTTCCCCTGCCCTGTCTCCAGAACCCAGGAACCCCACTGCCTCAACTGCATCCTCTGTGAAATGCATAGAATAAGGTTTTGCCTCTTACAGGACAGTTGTGATGACACAAGATGACAGAAACAAGGAACTCAGAATCAGGGCATGTGACAACCCCGCTTTGTGCTGGCTCTTACCAGGTTACTGCTACTATTACCTTTCTTCTGGTGGCTAGGGGCATCAGGCTGGGAGGCAGGGGCCTGTGGGAGAGAAGAGACCTCAGGTGGGGGACACCCCTTGGGCCCAGGGAGTGCTCTAGGAAGGGCTGGCCCTGTTGCTGTCCAGGGCTCTGTCCTCCAGATCAGGAGGCTTTGCTTCTGCTCTGACATCTTCCTAGATTGCTCTGTTCCTGGGGCCATGGCTCTAGCTTTACCTGTCCTCTCCTGGCCACCTAAGACCTGCCCTGGCCCACGACCCGCCTGGCGCGCTCTGCTGGCGGCGTCGAATCTCCAAGCCTTGGGGTCGGCCTTGTGCTGGAGGCAGCAGGTCAGGAGGGGGCACAGTGGGCGCCGAACCAAGTCCTGCAGGCACCGAGGTGGCTGCGCCCAGGGGACGGGGTGGGACGGGGTGCGGTGGGGGAGTGGCCCCAAGGCTGGGCCGGCGGGAGGGGCACCTCCCAGGGGATGCTCTGGCCCGGCGATGCACCCGTCCGGGCCGGACCCCGCGGCTCCCTCAGCAGAGGCACGCGCCTCCCCACTTCCGCCAACCTTGAGAGGGCACGGCAGGCAGCGGGCTGCGGGGCCACACGTACCTGGGCAGGGACCAGCTGCAGGAGCGCGGCGAGCAGCAGGCGGCGGAGCAGGGGGCCCATGGTGCCCGAGGGGGCCGCGCGCCGGGGACGCCCGCATCGCCCTAGCCCGGCGGCGCGGGGGGC